ATACCCAAAAAGAACCCCCACCCCCTTGCAGCTCCCAACTCCTCATGATTCAGTTTAATCGTATGCATGTCTTTCGAATCAAGCCGAAACTTTAGCTGTTATCAACACGCATGTGGCGCCGACCCAGCCCTACAGCAGGACAGCAGTGCTTCGAAAGTAACGTGCCAGTGCCCAGTGCTGCGATGTAGAGTTGAACTGTGCCACAGCAGTGGCATGGTGAAGTTAGCACCGCCGCGAAGAAGAGATGTCTTACCGCAATCTTTTCATCCACACGTCCCATCAGCCCGTCCGCAAACACACTCCCTCTCGGCCTGCTAGCAGCAGCCATCACGATCGTCCCACTGGCATTCTCGTTGTGCTTGACCTCTTCCGTGTTCTCCTGCATTCTCCGGGCATGTGTTCATGGACACTATGCTGGACCTGGGTCGGGGTCCCTGAATGAAGCCACCCAAGATGGCTTCCTGGTGCGACCTTGTGCAAGGTTGAGCTATGAAGAGGCTTTCTCCTGGTGTCGGGTTCAGCACCAGAGAGCCAAACATCCTTTGCCGATGGTTTTTGTTCATGCGTCTGATCTTCATGCACAGTGGAGATCCCAGACCCAAACCACGAAAACCCGCTAGGCCACCTGTTGAAGCACTGGCCTACTTTGCAAACCGGAAGCCTGCCGCAGCCCCACACAAAGACGCTGCAAGAACAGAAGCTGAAGGACTGTAGCAAACCTGTCACCTTCTTGAGTCAGGGAATGCTTTGCTGACGACTAAACCCCGTGGAGGATCTCGCGAGCTGAAGAGACAATTTGAAATGCAAAGCCGAGCGCCTCAGGATCGCCACAAAGTCCCTGAGCCCCTTCAGATCTCTCAATACATGCAAGCCTCAAGCCGAACACCTATAAAACCCCTGTAGAAATCTCCTTCAGATGCATACTTAGATACACACGTGCATACACGTATGCATAGATACATCTACAAGTTTACATGTGTATCTATGAAACAACACAGCCTCGGCTACCTTCACCCTGCCCATAGGCCCCATAGTAGTTCCTTTTTGGGATTACCTTATAGGATTCTAAATATGAACCCCAAAAAGGAACTACTATGGGGCCTATGGGTATACCCCAAAAGGAGTCTGTTCGGGCTGCAGCAATCCTTCCGCAAGGCATCTCCACGCAGTGCCCCGAAGCTGAGGAACTCGGGGAAAGCCAGCAGAACCTTGGCTTCGGGGGAGTCCTCAAGAGGTGGGATGAAGGTAGGTTTAGGGTTTAGGGTTTAGGGTTTAGGGTTTAGGGTTTAGGGTTTAGGGTTTAGGGTTTAGGTAGGTTTAGGGTTTACACTCTCACAACTCGGACAAGCCAGGCGAGGATCCATGTGTGCACAGTCGGTGTGACAAGTTAAGAGCTGCCGATGCCTGCAACTAGGTTTAAGGTTTAGGGGTTTAGGGGCTTTAGGGGTTTAGGGGCTTTAAGGGTTTATGGGGTTTAGGGTAGGGGGATTCACCCTCTTGACCCTGAATTCCCACAGAGTTGGGTTAGAGGCAGCAGCATTGAGGCTCGGGGGGTCTTCAGTTTAAAGGGCTTTACAAGGCTTTGAGGTGTATATCTTCAGGGTTAAGTGGTC